GATACCCAGTGCAATAACTATATATATAAATATACCCATCTATATAAATAGCCATTTAAATACCCTGTGCAATAACATTGTATAATGATCACGTAATAAAAATAAAGATTTCAGCTGTCATATGTGGACTCACTGCATATACTGTATATTCCTCATGCACCTTTTTCTTCTTTTTGCACCTTCTTCTTCTGTTTTTGACTATTTGGGCTGATGTAAAGAGTACATTTCTCCACTGTGAGATCAATAAAGTCAATCAATAAATTTCTAAATCTTTATTATAAATCTAAAGAGAGTAAATTAAAATGCTCTTTAAAGTATAATTTATATTTTTTAATATTGTATATTTAAAACACACACAGGTTACAAAACCTTGCTCTAGACCAGGCATCCCCAAACCCAGTCCTCAAGGCCCCCTGTCCTGCAGGTTTTAGAGGTTTCTCTGCTCCAGCACAGCTGATTTTAATTGAAAGCTGATTAACAGGCTTTTGGTCTACTGCAATCATTATAATCAGCTGTGCTAAAGCAGAGAAACCTCTAAAACCTGCAGGACAGCGGTGCAGGACCGAGTTTGGGGATGCCTGCCCATCAATTCCTAAAGTTGGTGTTGTGACCCCGTTTTTTTAGGCAGTATGGGTTGCATGATTTTGCAAGATAATTTAATTAGAAATAACAACACCTATGTTCTTAGGTTTTAGTTTAAGAAGAGTTTATTTAGCTTCCAAAACCTTTGAGTATATTTATTTGTTATTAGCCAGTACAGGGTCTTGGGCTAGTCTACACAATTTAAACAAAACAAACGTCCATTTTGAAATACTTAAAGATACAAAATAATAACTTAAAAAATTGACAGCACCAACTACTTTGGATGTTGAGGCTCTTTGTAATTTTCTGATGCCCTTTATTATTTGATAAGTAGGCCTAGAGGTTTGGGAAAAATAAGACACATACTTCCAGAGGATCAGCAGCAGTAAAAACATTTTTAGACTTAGACAAACTTTATTGTCATTTAGATAAAGTTAGTCTAAGTCTAAAACTGATATTACTGCTGCAGATTCTCTGGAGGCTAGGTATGTTTCTATCACATTTGCACTTCACAAGACAACACTTTTTAGACAATTCTTATATCCCTGCTAAAAAAAGAGCATGATGCTGCACCCACCATGCTTTACAGGGGAAATGGTTTCAGTAGGATGTACAGTATTTGTTTCCTCCAGTTTTGTTTAATTTTGTCTCAGCTAATCAGAGCAGAAGCAGAAATAAACGTCCTTCCACAAGTTGTAGAAAGTTACTAAAAGTACCCTTTATGGCTATCTCCTTCTGTTTCACCTCCTCTCACTGTCCTCTGCATGGCCCTCTTGTCTGCCTCATTGATACCTCCCCTAAAACGTTTCACTTTTAGCTGTTATTATTAGAAAGAGACAAATAATATCCATGAGCGTCTTCCCTTTTAACCGCAGAGGTAAAATATTAGGACCCATACTCCAGAATAGCATAGCATCAACATGACACCACTTTAAAATTGGAAAAACCTGTGCAGTCACCATGAATTATCTTCATATTTTCTCTTCCCCCTTCAAAAAAAAAAAAAAAAGTCAGACTTTTCTTCCTTTCCTCTGCTGGCTCATCGCCTTATTTCTTTTGGGCATTTCTCAAACATAAATAATCGATCACTGTCAGGAACAGTCAGAGACGATACAAGCAAGCTTCCTCACACGAAGTTAGTCTAACCTCTTGGATTTTTGCTGTTGTATTTTGAAAGGGAAACCTTTCATCTATAACCTCTATGGATGAAAGTGGTCTCATAAATCAGAGCTTCTTTTTTTTTCATTAAAAAAAACTGATTAAACAAATGAATAGAAGAACCTCCACATCAATCATGTCCTTAAGTAATAATAAGACTAAGACTATAAAACAGGCTTACATTGGAGGCAAATTGACTTTTCCAGCTGCCCCCGGATGAATGAGGATTTGCACAAGAATAATGCGATGTAGAACGATCACAAAAAACTCTTTAGGTCTTCAAAAAGAACTTTGAGGATTTCCTTTTATTTTCCCCAGAATAGACATATTTCTGTGTAACGTTATTGTTTGAACCACAGTAGAGGAGGTGTCATGGATGGGGAATCCTTTGATTCAGTTTCCTGTCGTTGCTTATTCCCTGAATGCTGCATTGTTTGACCATGTAAATGTAGGTGTTTTTTTTCCAGAAAAACCTAAAGAGGTTAAGGGGAAAGGGTGTAAAAAATTGGGTTTCTAATAACATATGTTAGATTAGTTAAATAGACTGATTTATGTTGGCTTTAAATCATATTGCATTTATAGGCTTTATGCATTATGATTAAGGCAAAATTCATTATTTTACTTTCAGAAAGAGAACAGCAAGACATTAATTATGCAAACAAAAAGAGGGAATTGTCAAGCAAATTGTCGACAAGTTGTGCCAAGTCCTGCATCTTCTTGTGTTTTCTTCCTATTCTGAGAAAAAAGTTTATGTCCATTGTCTATCTGTAAGATTCTCTAGTGACGAATTTATATTTTTCTGTCCAAAAAAAGTCCATCAGAGTTTCATAAAAACTAAATAAAAAAAAAAACACATGTGTAGTTCAAAGGTTATAGAGCAGACTCTATTACAGTTCCAAGTAGGGGTGCGGTAAAAAAATTGTTTTTGCGATCTGGATTCCTGATTTTCAGCTGCCCGATATAATATCGATCTTTCAGTTCCTTGTATCGATTTTTTAAAAACAAAAAATGTTTGACCTAAAACAATGAGATAACATGGGCTACCTCTGCACCGCCACTCACGCAGATAGTGCTGTGGATCCCTTTTGCTGTGCGGCGAAGCACCATTTCTGTAGTTGATGCAGTCAAAGTGGAAGACGTTGACTGACTCAAACCCCAAGCAACATGGATACCAAAAAAAGTAAATGATCAATATCTTCTAATGAACATAAACAGCACCCGCTTTTTTATCTATGAATTAAATTTTGACAAGGAAAAAAAAATTTGCAATATATACCGGTAGCTATATCGTGACATGTATCATATCACAACACCCATGCCAATACTCACCCCCAGTTCCCAGGGTCTTTGGCAATTAATTGCCCACAGTATTACAAATCCT